CAGAGGTAGCAAGAGGAGGGCAGGGAGAACAGTGTGATGTAAAGCATCGCATCAGCCAGGTGTTCTCTCTGTACCCTCTCATCTAAACTTCAACAGTCCTATAAGACAGGCCTTCATCTCTCCATCTTATGAGTAAGAGTTGATTTCATAGAAGTGCAAGTAGAAAGGCTGCAGAGAGTAGAGGATAGAGAGGGACAGGGAGAGGTTGATCAATGGAGAGTTTCTCTTCCTGCTGCTATGATAAAATACCTTGATAAAAGTAGTATAAAAGAGGAAAGCGTTGTTTTGGCTCACAGTTCGAGGGCACAGTCCATCACGGTGGGAAGTTAAGGCAGCAGGAACTTGAGGCAGCTGGTTACATTGTATCCACAGACGGGAAGCAGATGGCATGTGTGCTCAGCTCCCTTTCCCCTTTTTTATGCAGTCAGGCCCCAAGCTCAGGAATGGTGCCTCCCACTTTTAGGATGGATCTTCCACCTCAATTAACCTAATCAACATAATCCCTCAGAGGTGTGAAGATGCCAAATCATTCCTCACAGGAGTGCCTGGAGGCATGTCTCCTAGGTGATTCCAGATTCTGTCAAATTGACAATTAACATTAACTATCACTGGCGCTAAGTCAGTTAGGATCAAGAATTTCTGGTATGCTATTGAATAGTAGGGAAATTACAAATAATAGTAATGTGCTTACTGTATGGTTTAAAAAACTAGGAAAAGGATTGTGGTTGTTTCTACCATAAACAAATAATAGCCTGGCTTAGTGGTGCATGCCTTTAATCCCAGCACTCCAGAGGCAGAAGTAGGTGGATCTCTGTGAGTTCAAGGCCAGCCTGATCTACATAATGAGTTACAGGCCAGCTGGGGCTACAGAGAGACCCTGTCTCAAAAAGACCAGAAGAGCCGGGTGTGGTGGCGCACACCTTTAATCCCAGCACTTGGGAGGCAGAGGCAGGTAGATCTTTGTGAGTTTGAGGCCAGCCTGGTCTACATAGTGAGTTCCAGGACAGCTGGGGCTACAGGGAGACCCTGTCTCAGAAAGACCAAAAAAAAAAAGAAGATCAAAAGAGAGAGAAAAAAGAAAGAAATAGTAAATAAAACCAGTGCCAGGAATGGGTTACCTGTTTTGCCAGTCAGGTTCCATGAACCCACAAACATTACTGGCTATTGTCATTGTTCTTAGTTATCCTATAAATCATGACAGTTAAAACCTTATTGCTGAACACACATGGAACAGTCACAGAACATGGAAAAATGAAGCTGATACCAACCTAGAAACTTCATCCCTACTGGCTAGCTTTCATAGGGCTGGAAGGTGCTATGCATGCTACCAGAGGAGAAAAATAATCATAAATGTAATAATAAATCTTACCCAGCTGTGAACCCTGCAAGCTACAATAATAACTGGCCTGACAAGATATGCTCATTGGTGCAATAGTGGCATGAGCTATGGCAGCAACCAGCCACATTCTCATTGGAATTAAGGCCTGTTCCATAAGATGGAACCCATACCTATGACTGTTATCAGGGTCAAGAACCTGTGGCTAGCCAGGTCATGGGCCCTAGGGGAGAACTCACTATTATTATTCTGCTAAATGGACATAGTATTTAACTTACTCATAATGACTTATCATTATGCCCATAGATTAGTATATCTTTCAGCCTTCATCAGAGAAGCTTCTTTCCGTAGTAGATAGTCCACATACAGAGAAATAAGAGACTATTGAGTGCTCAGCTCTAAATGGGAAATCTACATCACACCCCTCACCCCAAGGCTCTGGGATCATTATAGAAGGAAGGTCAGAAAGATTGCAAGAATCAAAGGCTGTGAATGACTGCAAGGTAACAGTTTTTTCCAGGCACAAAAGGGTAGTTGCACATATGAATCCACAGCAGTTGTAACAGCATCCACAAGTCTTGGGCAAGATCAAGCCAGATAAAAATCCCAGCACGGCTAGGGGAGGTCAACATGATGTCCCACCTTTAGCTGAGAAACTATTGGAAACTGATAGATTCTGGGAGAGGGGAAGTCAGATTTCAAGGGTATGATGCCAAATAGATTGACCACATTCCAGGGGATGGACCCATACCCAAAAGTATTTGGGCAACACAAAATGGACTTGATGGACTTAAGAAAAAAAGAGGACAGGCAGTTGGGTGGGTAGAGAAGTAGGGGTAGATCTGGGAAGAGATGGGGGAGTAAGTTTAAATATGATAAAATACATTCTAGGACATTCTCCTTTCTTCATGGGAGGATTTTGTTTACACAGGTCTTGTGCATGTCATGCTTCCATGAGCTCTGTGAATTAATATGTGTGCCTACCCTACTGTGTCTGGAAAACAGTTTCCTCATGGTCATCCACCACCAATGGCTCTTCAGGCTTTCTGCTTCCTTTTCCATCACGCTTCCTGAGCCTTGGGAGAAAGGGTGTGATACAGGTGCCCCGTTTAGAGCTGGGTATTCTATAGTCTCTTATTCTCTGAATGTTGATCAGTTGTGAGTCTCTGCTTTAGTGACAGGTCCTCCCTGAGGGCCTGTGACTGGCTAGCCTCAAGTCGTTGGCCCCAGTAATCATGCCTGATATGCCTTTCACCTTGTGGAGTGAGCCTTAAAGCCAATCAGAAAGCGGTTTATTACTCCCATGGCATTCCTGTCACTGTTTTTATATAGCATTTAAAAATAAAGTTTAGGTACTAGAGAGATGGCTCTACAGTCAAAGCACTTGCTGTTCTTGCAGAGGACCTCGATTTGGATCTCAGAACCTACATGGTGGCATACAACAATCTATAACTCTATAAGCTCCAGGGGGATCCAGCATCCTCTTCTGGCCTCCCCTGGCATCAGATACACATGTGGGGTACATACATACATGCAGGCAAACACTTGTACACATAAAATAAAAATAAATAAAGCTTTAAAAGTAAATAAAAATAAAGTTTAAGAAGAAAGTTGGAGATTACAGATTTAAATGAACTTAATGACCTACCATGTGACATGTGTTGCTGCCTTATAAGCCTTCCATGAATGAACCCTATTTCTGAAGTCTTTTTTCATGTAACAGAAATTAATTGGCTGACTGACATAGTAGAGAATCTCTGCATGCAGTAGAGAATCCCAAAAATGAAGCCAGGCTAGCAGTTGAGCATTTCTATAGGCCTAGTGGGTTCTATCACTGTTGTTGCATAAATAACAAGGAAGTATGATCCAGCCATTTAAAAACAAGAGTAACTCCCCTTGACATCATCCAACCCAGCAAGAGATCCAGGAAAATATACTGCTTTCCACCAGCAGAGAAGGGAGCGCTTGCCCTAGGCGCTGAGTCCCCTGATACCAACCCTGGGTTCTTGAAGCACCAAATGCTGATTTCAACTAAAAGTTTCGTGACTTAGAAGTTTATGCTGAATATATTTGAGCTACTCAAGGTCAAGAAAATATTCTAGAAGCATACTTCATAAACTGCCCACTGACAGAAACCAAGAACTCCAACTTCTTAGGCATTTTCATCTTGTACTTTAATTTTTCTAAAGCAAACACTTGATTTCTGGCTGCTGATAAAGCAATTGATATATCAATAACGCAATATCAAGATTCTTGTCCAGGTTTTTATGAGCAGTCCTGTAAGAGATCAAAGTTGCTACGGCAACAAGGGTAATTACAGCACCCTTGGAGAATCACCATGCTGGAGCAGTACTGCTGTGAAAAAACACAGAAAAACTAGGAGGGAGCATGAGGGGAGAAATAATTTATATCCAGGTACCAATCAAAGGGAGAGCTGACCAGATGTGACAGTTCGTGCTTATAGGCCCAACACTTCTGAGACTGAGGTGGGAAAATTGTGAATTCAAGGCTAGCCTGAGATATATAGAGAGTTCTAAGTTAGACTAGGCTATACAGTGAGACCCTGTCTCAAAATATAAATAAATAAATAAATAAATAAATAAAATCTTTGTTTAAAAAATAATTAAATTGTTCTTGGTTGCCTTGTAGAACTTGAAGGCAAGACCTTCTTGCTGAATATACCACACACTTTAGACACAGGACTTACAATCAAGTTGGAACTGACCTGGAAGCCTCCTCCCTGAGGAAGAACCCTCATAGTGTCAGAAAACATGTTTTAATTATTATCCTATGTTGTCAACAAGGTTATGTAAAATTATTTGGGATTAGAATTTTCTATTATTCCTGTGAATAAAGAGAATCACATGGAAGAGAGCCTTCAAATCACAAAACTCAGAAGTTGCTCCCATTTGTTTCAGAAATATATTATTTAGTTTGCTTGTTCTTAGCTCAAATTCATTTTCCTAGCTAAGTCTGATTTGGCTTAATGCTATAATTTGGATTTCCTGAGTCCTAACAGATTCTGATTTAATCTAGAAATACACAAATGGAAGATAATGTTAAAAATAACTATAAATCATTCATCTTGACTGAAAAAATAGGACAAGTACCTTTTCTGCTGCCCCAAACCTCTCAAAGTAAGGGAAAACGTGTAAGGGAAAAGTACGTCTACATGGGATAAATGTGATCAAGTGCACTTCCATCACATCATGGAGTTCTCAAACTGACCCAAAAGGATCTGAAGTAATCCTGTGAGATTCTGGCTCCTAGCACACACTTCAGTTAATGAGAATCACTATCCCAAAGATGATACAGGACCTGACTCACCTACCCTAAGTGTTTAGGGTAGAAGGTTGGTTATGTGAAGTCTGGTGTAAGTCTCAAGACAGGCAAATGGCTGAAAGTTTTTATCTTCAAAAAATAATGCAGTTGTAGCTTACAAAGGAATTATATTAAAATCCTTTCTGAAATTTTATGAAAAAATACTGACAACTGGGTTTAAAAGAGCATAATTCAAGGTATTGACCCCATACCCCACGAAATGCCCCAGTATTGTGGTGCTGAAAAGGATATGTGTGCACACACATACATACTCTGCATAGAAGCTTATAGATGATGCCATTAATTATGGAAAACAACACTGCACGAACCGTCAGGACCTTACCTTTTCAAGTATAGCGTTGCCTTGGTGAGGACTGATGTTGTGCTGACTGACTTCTCTCTTGTACTTATATTCATAAACTTGGTCAGTGATGTTGACCAGCAGTGTGGACGGACTGAAGGATAATTTCCCACAATCGTAGACAGTTCCACTATCAACGTCAGTTGGTGCTGTAGCATACCGTAAAATTAATCCCATTATGAGGCCTAAAATAAAGAATAAATCATTGTACTGGAGGAAGGCAATGTCAAGTGTGCACTATTGGGTGAATTTAAATATATGATTAGGAACATTTAGAATTAGCAAGGGAAAGGGTGGGTTATCATTTGGTTTAGAAGTTGTTTACTTGCAGATACCAACTCAGTAGAAGGCATTGTTAGAGCGTGTCCTGGGCACTATTGCCTGAGGACTCAGCGTATGAATATGATTCTCCCCATTCTGGAGAGGAGATACCCTCCTCTTCCATCCATTCAGGGACCTCAAGAGAACCATTGCTCTGTAATCAGCACAGAATAACCTGCTAGTCTGGAGAGTCCCTTGGCAGGGCCTCTGCTGTGGTATCAACACATTCTTAAACTTGCCTTTTCACACTGAAAGGAAGTGTGGGTAGGGGAGGTGCTCTTGTCCCCTCCCTGAGTGCATGGGCAAAGCAATATTTTCTTCATTTTTATTGGCAGATATCTGGGACCAGGAGGAGATGTTGTCCAAAACAAGTTCTAAGACACAAACTTGAGCTCCTGAATGATGACACCAGGCCACTGGATCAACCAGCCTCTCTCCCGCCACCTGAATTCTAGACTTCTTACTAGGCAACACAGTACATTCTCTAACTTTTCAAATAATTTCCAGTTAAATTTCTGCTTACCCATACTCATTCTAATTGTTCAACATTCCTTTACATGAGGAGTTGAGCCCATGGGTCAATCCTTGATTTGTAAGCTTCTAAAATCTATTAGGATGTTCATGGTAGTAATATAACTATGAACTTTTTGAGTATGGATTTATTAACAAAAATAGGAAAGCTTCAGAGACCTAAAGCAGCCCTCGATTTAAATTTTAGATTGACGCATGTGTTTTGGGAAAAATAATATATTTTTCTCTTTAAACTTCAATTTTTGAAGGTTTTTACTTCTCTCTTATGAATCCAATAGTCTAATAACTTTTCAGGTTTTTGTTTCATTTTTGTGTTTTGAGACAGAGTCTCATGTAGCCTAAGCTAGCTTCAAACTCACTGTGTAGCCAAGGATGGCCTTAAACTCCTATCTTCCTGCCTCTAAAATGCTGAGATCACAGGTGTGTATCATCATGCCCTACTCAATATTTCCTTTCTCTAATGAGATACTTTGGGTTATATATTTTGTTCCAGACATCTATAGATCTAAGATCAAATTATAGTTCCAGTCCTATAGGAGCTTGATTTGTGTAAGTCAAGCTGAAGACTCAAAGTCAGACAATTCTACCACAGCATGCTGTATACTTTGACAGCTGGAAGCACCATGAGACTGAATCATGCAAAGCCTGAGAGGAATCTTTAGAGTTCTCATGAGACTCGCTGTGAGCGGATCCAAAGAATGAGCCAGATCTAGGCTATAGATGTGGGCAGAAGCGGGAGATCACAGTGGGTGGAAAGTGTGTCCAGAGTTAAGTGCTCTCCACCAGTACAGCTGCGTATGTCACTGCTGAGCTGCAGCACTCAAGAATCAAGTACATTTTCTTCTTTCCCTGTCTCTCAGCTGAATGGGGGCAAATCAAAGGCTCTAAAGATAGACAGAGTCCCTGGTCAGAAGGAGCCTGGGTTCCAGAGAAAACAGGAAGAGGGAGAGGGAAGCCTTCTGCCAGCCAAGAGCATTGGCATTGAGCAGCTAGCAGTGAGAAGTGAACTTCTGTTGTATAGAATCACTGTGACACTGTGTTCACAATATCTAGTGATAACCTAATTAATACAACATATAAAAAAGGGACTTCAGAGATCTGGAAATTTTAGGAAGTCACTGGTGATACAGGAGAACAGGTGAGAGGGAGACAGAGACTCTCTAGTAGACCATATGGTTCCGGTCATATGTAAGAGGTTTGGGGTTGCAGTTCAGTGAAAAGGAGAGCTAGCAAGAGATTTTAGGAGGAGAGTAACCTAAATCAACAAATTTCTTTTGGGAACAATTTTATCTTACTTGTTCTTGGTTCAGTTTTGCCCAGGCTTCTGTGAAAGAAAGATTGCATATAATCTCCATGTACAAGAACAGATACTTAAGTGTTATATACTAGATATAAAGTGTCCCCCCACAAGGGTTCATATATTAAAGGGTTGGTGCCCAGCTGTCAGACACACTTATTGAGGCATGAGGGAATCTGACATGATGGTAGATTCACATTGTGATGGCGTTATTTGAAGACAGTTGAAAGTAGAACATGTGACCTCATTGGAGGAAGTAGTTCACTGGGGACAAGTGCCAAAACATGCCTTGTCCCAGCCCCTTCCTGTCACTCTGTTTCTGCCGTGAAGCAAGCAGCTCTACCACACTACACCCTCACTGCCACAGTGCTCTGCCCCAACATAGGCCAATGCTCATGGAGCCAAGTAACCATGAACGGAAACCTCTGAAACAATGAACCCAAATGAACTCTTCCTCTCACAAACTGTTTTCTCAGACACTTGATCATAGCAGTGCAAATCTGACTAGCACAGTGACCTTTCCTGGATATGTGGTCTGTCACAGAACAGTAGGAACCTTCTATGCACAGTATTAAATGCTTACAATAAAACCACTCAGGAGTGAGGCAGAGGATACCTCATCCCTACTGCAAGATGTTCAGGTGGTGGAGGAAAATCACTCTGTCAATTCATTTCAGTTTCAACAGGTCCACGAATGGTCTTGTTACTGCTCTTTCTATTCAAGTGGAATACAAAATAAACGGGAGCACAAGCATTATCTGTGGGACCTCAATGGAAAGAACCTATATTAGTGGCTTTTGAAACTCCCCCTAATTAAGCTACATTTTTTAAAAAGTTGTCAATGAGATAACAATAAGTAAACATGGGAACTGGAGAGATGGCTCAAAGGTTAAGAGCACTGGCTGCTCTTGCAGAGGACCCACGTTCAGTTCCCAGTACCCACATGGTGGTTAACAACCACCCATAACTCCAGTCCTAGGGGATCCCATGTCCTCCTCTGGCCTCTGAGGGCATTGTACAGCATGGGTGCACTTACATACATGCAGACAAAACACTCACACATGCAAAATAAAAATAAAATAAATAAATTCATAAATACATTTTTAAAAAAAGAAGTAAATGTGGAGGTGTCTGTTCATAGTAAATTCCTGAGTAGAGAAAGCAAGTCCTTATAACAACAGATGCCTGGTAGTGTGGTTAAATTCACACAAGTCCTCAAAACTCAATGGCCCTGCCTGTTCCTGCACCATGGTGGGACCCAGATTTCAAGAAGCAGTGCCCTGAAGTAAATCGAGGAGGCATACAGTTTGCAGCCAGAAGTGACAGGATGTACTAGTCGTGAAATTGCAGCGATAGGTGGGCCTCCCACTGTGAGGAGTGCTGGAGACCAACAACCTTGGCTTCTGTGCCCTGGGATCCATCAGCACATTCACACTGAGGCTCCCCACACCCTTCTTAGCCAATGCCTGAGCCCAACAGAGATACTGAGGCAAGATGCTGGGGACCCCTCTGAAGGACAACCATGGCCACAATCACCCGAAAACTTTGCACTGGAGCCTAAAGATCTCCTGCCCAACCCCTCTTCCTTTCCTCTCTCCATAAATCTCGGGGCAACATCAAGGGCAGACATCTGTTCCAGTGTCCTTATCCTCCCTCCCATTTTCCGTCAAAGAAGCTTCCTACAGCAAATTTTTAAAAATAACCAATCTCTTCCTGCACTTCCTTCTTGGAGTACTCAACTTAGCACATGAGTTAAAAGGTTCTGGTACAGGCTGGACAGATGAGATGGCTCAGCGCTTAAGAGCACTGGGTGCTCTAGCAGAGGACCCAGGTTCAGTTCCCAGTACCCACACGGTGGCTAACAACCATCTGTAAGTCCAGTTTCAAGGAAATCCGACACCCTGCTCACTTCTGACTTCCCTGGGCATTGCACAACACTGGTGCACTTATATACATGTAGGCAATACAGTCACACATACACAAAATAAAAATAATAAATAAAATAATTTTTGAAAAAGGAAGGGCTGGAGAGATGACTCAGCAGTTAAGAGCACTGGCTGCTCTAGTAGAGGACCTGGATTCAATTCCCAGCACCCACATGGTGGCTAACAACCATCCCTAATTCCAGTTCCAAGGATCCGAGGCCCTCCTTAGGCATTGCACAACACAGGTGCAGTTACATGCATACAGGCAAAAGACTCACACACATAAAATAAAAATAAATAAATAAAAATTTAAAGGAAGGTTCTGGCCCTCATTTCCCATGAGCACCAACTGTTGAGCGAATCAAATCTTGGCAGTTTGCAAGATGTGGCAAGCAGATCCAGGTGCCCACTGGCATCTCCACTACAGGAGCAGCTGGGCAATCCTTGTATGTCAGAGACCAGACACCCCCGTGCCGCTTCCCAGTGCACTTTACAGGCAAACTCGGTGCTCCAGGCATATGCTGACAAGAAGGTGGAGTGTTGGACTGACATACAGAAGCCCAGGATTGCGTGAGAGTAAGTAACACAGATAAAGGAGATCTTCAAGAGGAAGAAAATCCTGAGAAGGACTTGCTTTCATAGCCACACAAAGATACAGAATAAAGAAAGCGCCAATCACTGCTGCACAGAAAGAAAGAAGACTGGCCACCATGATTGCAGAACTCACAACCACCAGTCATGTTGGTAAACAAGAAAATCAGAGTAGCAAAGGAGCCAGCCTGCTTTGGTAAGGGCCTACCTTTCAGCACAAGAGCTCACAGCCCAGTTCCAGGTCTGTCCCAGCGCACAGACTACCTCTCTGAGACCAGCCCCTTGCCAATAGTTGGCATCACCCTTGCAGGTGGAGTCTTTAATTAAGATGCACTCTGGCTTCTTTAGTTCTGGGTGCCTAGGGTGTCAAGAGGCACCCTGACCTCCCTCAACAGAACACAACCCCTATAGAGCTTCATCCTTAAATTCCCCACTAAACTGAAAAGCACCAAGTTTCACCTGTGGGAACCCACGCTCCACCGGAGCCTGTGCGCACTGAGCTCCCTGACCCGGTACAGCT